AATGTTAGGGTTATATCCAAATGGCATCCTAACTTCTGAGTGGATCTAGGAGGCAAATAGGGAAACAGAATCATAGAGAGGGGGTACTTTAGAGTACTTCAAGTTTGGAGTCCTATGACCTCAGTTTGAAGGCTGCTTCCATCATTTCCCATGTGACCTGAGCAAGTGGTTTCCTTTCTCCAAGCTTGATTCCTTTTCTATGAAATGGAGATGATAATAATAGTACCAAGTCACAGGAAGGACTGTTATGTGGATTCAAATTGACAATCCATTAAACCACTTAGCATAGAGCCTGGCGCATAGTGAATGCTCAATCAATGTCAGCTATTATTAAATCTATCATAATTCTATTTTCATGCCAACAATACACTTAAATGAATCCTAAATAATGGGAATCTATTCTGGCTTTAGAGTTCTATGTGGATTTCACGACTATATGGGCTTTTAAACATTCAGAGATTTCTTTCTTGTGACCTAAGTCTCTAATTAGTCCTAAAATTATTTTCTTGAGTAGTCTCTTTTAGTTAAGCTATGGAAAAATTATACTTGTGGACCAGCAGCAATTCTTTTCCCTGTCATCTTTTCCCCAAATTAAAATCTCCTGGTTCATTTAGGGCCTTTCATATGTCTTATTTTTCTGGTTATCACAATATGAATGTCTACTAAATTCAGCAGACATGCCTCCTAAGTAATAATGCAATAAGCTGTAGAATTATTTGGACATAATTTGGCTAGTATTGAGTCAAAAGGAAATGTAAACTACTTTTAGTTCATAATATATTCTTGTAGCATTTATTACATTAGCACTTTAAAAAATGCTATCATTATATATTGTTATATAGTGTTTTTCTGAGTAGTTTATAACCCCTAGTACTATTAGTGCTAGTTTTCTACTTCTGTGTCTCTAGTGCCTATCTGGCACACAATGCATATTTAGTGTGTGTGTGTGTGTGTGTGTGTGTGTGTGTATGTGTGTGTGTGTGTGTGTGTGTGAAAGAGAGAGACACTGATGTTTAACCTGAATCCCATCTTCGTCTTTGCAATGGGCCACTTATTTTGTTTTCCTTCTTTAGAGCCTCCCCTCCCCCACTGCATTTTTTTGATGTGGTCATTGGTCAAGGGGCTATACTTCTACAAGGATGAGCACAGGACCCATAGTGGCCAATAGAATTCCACTTTCTCAGGAATATAATGGACGCCAGAGGAGAGAAGGCCCTTCTCATCAGATTACCAACTGTCAGTATTATGTGAGTCAAGAGAGTCTGAGGTTCTTGCTTCTATCAGATGTGGAGAAAGGTCAATATAGAAGAAAGCATGGCTGAGAGGGAAAGAATGTCATCAACTCTTTAAACAATGAATGCAGCAGCCACGGCCCAAAGCAGGTCTGTCCTTGCACTTTTTGGTTATGTGACCCAATAAATTCCCCCTCCTCCTTTCATATTCCGCCTAAGGTGGTTCCAGTAGGCTTCTTTTATATTCTGTTATGGCACTGACTGACTGATAAAGTCTCATGTGACCAAAAAAGATTTGGAACCCAAAGTGCCTTTTTCTTAAATCTTCCTGATATTCTTATGCATATCCAGGGAGAGTGATCTACTACCAAATTGGTAAAAGCTGAACATGACAACATATAATATATTTTATCCTAAAATTAGCATAACATTTGAAGTAGAAGTAGAACTAGCCTCAGGAATAATGAAATCATCCAAGAGTGCAAAAGTTTGGTTTCCTTTTATTTAAAAGGGGGCAGATATAGCAAAGAATTTTATCCTCAAATGAGAACCACAATTACATGGTAAAAGCAGATCTTTATTCTTCACTCACCGAACTTTTATTCCAATCCATTGTCCTCTCTCCACTACTCCACTGCTATTTGGTAAGAATTAGCCAAGTAAGGCCCTGTCTCCTGAGGACGGACCCGACTACACATCAGCCTGTACCAGCTAGACTGCGGTTAAAAAAAATCCGCATCTTCTGAGTTAATTTTTATTTTCTCCAATTAACAGAGAAGGTCATATAGAATATCAAATAAAGAGATGATGCATTCTAGAAGTATGCCTTATGAGACCAGCCAATGAAAGGGGTCTCTGGACCAGAAACAAGAGTCAGATTTAGAATATTGCCTGAAGGGAGAATTTGGAAGGCAAGCATTTGTTTTGGGGATTATTGACCAAAAGACGTACTCTTGCTTAATTCTCTCCAATGCCTTCAGTGGCTCATTTCCAAATCTTTTAAGAGTCTTCTTATATGTTGTATATATCACGCTAGGCACTAAAAATACAAATACCTCATGTTTCATTCCTTCGCTGGTACTCACAGTTCCACAACTATGTCCTATTCCAGATTCTCATTCCTCGCCTTGAAACTTCTCAAGCTTCAAAATTTCTCTAAGAGTTTACATTCCCCAACCACTATCCCAAACTTCCAATATAGGTACTGTTTCCTCTTTCAGTACGTTTTGCACTCTGTTGTTTACCTATAGTGTAATCCTTTACACTGCATCCTAATGCCTAGGTATTGTACTTGTCTGTTTCTCTCACACATCTAAGGCACAGTATTTGCTTTTTCACATGAATTCCCAGAACTTACTAGCTCTTAATAAATGCTTGTTGAGTGAATAAACAAACACATGAATGCATACATGCATGAATGAATGAATGAATGACTAATAGCATGGTCTCTACTCTGAAGAAGCTCAGTCTAGCTGGGGAAGAAATAACCATTAGGCTAATTAGCAACTAACCATTGCATAATAGAGACACGATTCAAATATTGACAGAGTATAACATGAGCAGAAATTAATTGTTCCTTTGATTTTGTGCCTTTTTTTCCCTCGTGTCTGCTTTATTGTTTGTGCTCAGAGGAATATTTAAAACTCACTGTTGAATTATCTATGAACAAAACCCTGATATCTTTGAAGGAAGGATTACCATCCAAATCTATAAATGGAATAAAACAAATAAGAACATTAGATAAAGAAAATACTGCTGGCTGCCTACAGAAATGCACTGAGACTATCTCAATAAGGAACATTTCCACACAGGCCTAACAAAGGGAATAGTAAAATTATGGCCTAGTTTTTTTTAGTGACTAGAGGACCGTTGTTATATGTTGGGAACATGGAAATTCCAGAGATAGCTATGATGAGGAAGCTTCACAGACATTAAATGAGAAGAGTCCTGCTGTCAAGTGTTTAAACAATCTCCAGAGGCTACGTCTGCAGGAGGAATTTATCAATATGCAATCTCTACCTTGTTTGGTTTGACATGTGGGTTGTTGGCGGGTTTGTTACTGGGAGCTATAGATGACACTAAAAAGAAGAGGGAGCATTCCTACCACCTCTTTTTTTTTTTTTAGTTTTTGGTCCCAGCCTTTTTTCAGTTCCTCATCATTTTGGCCAGAACCAGATCCGCTTAAATGTTCTGTCTTCAGAATGTCCTTCCTATTGCTGTATTTTTCACATTTAAAGAGTGATAGTTTATAAAACAGGATCTAATTCAAATCTTCTAGCATCCTTAAGATGCACTGTTTTTCATTTGGGGCCCTCTGGAGTCTGTGGTAAGGGTACTATACTATTTGTGTGGAATATGAGAAACTATAGGAAAGAAATGGGGTGTTTCTGTGGGCTTGGGATTACCTCCGTGATAAGGAATGAAGACATTTTTTAAATGTTAAAACAAATACTGTGATATTATGAAAGATGAAGGTAAATATAAGAGAAGAATTTAAAGAGAAAGCATGAGACCTGAAAAGAATGCCAAGCTTTTGAGGTTAGCTGTTGCATTTTACTTTGACTCAAGGCATTTTTGTGAAAAGGTAATGGAGAACCATCTAGAGGGGAAAGTTGCCCCTGTCCCAAGCTCGTGCCCAGCCTAGCCTCTCCCTGGGCCAGGAAAACACCTGTTTCTAAACACCCAGGGACTTTTGTACAGTTTTTGAAATCTCTTAATTTCTGTTATGGAATTATTATAAATAGTCATTATAAATTACATATTACAACATAAACATAAAATATATAGTAGCATATGGCATGTAGAATGTCTCATCCCAAACACAGACCACTCAGGACTATTTTGAACTGACTCCTGGTCATTACATCGCTATTTCAGCTAACACATAAAGGATTATTTACTGACTACAGTATTGCTGGCAGTGATCATCACTACAGAAAAAACTTGATCAATTCAAAATCTTTAAGGCTTGGGACAGAGATTGGGGCCAAGTTTACCTATATATTTGTGACAGTTTTTGAAAAGATGTGCTAAGCAAATATACCAAGTGTTTGTAAAAGAACTGTTTACTGGACACAAATTTTAGAGTCACGGATTCCCAACAATGTAAGTGCATTGTAAGCAAAAGCTAGATGTTGCTTAGGTTGGTATTTTGATATAATAGGTACAAATTATTTTTATCTATTCTTTAAAGCAGGACTTCTGCTAGACATTACATTTTTACCCTAGTTCAAATTGCAATATTTATTTGAAAACAATAAAATATTGTTCCTGTGGAAATGTATTATATACTCTGACTTTTAATCATTTTGGCTCTTTTCCTCAAGTCAATTGACTTATAACTGAGTCTACTTAGTAGAGGAAGTGAACAAAAGGAGGTCACAGTTAAGACTAAATCCCAGTTAGTCACCTAAAGTTTCAACAGTCACATCCATTATATTAAGAAACTGTGCTTTAATAATGCACGAGTTGGCAGCAAAACAATAAATGTCCAAACATGATAAATAGCAGGTTAACCACCTCTGCGACAGAGAGAACAACAGTATCAAGCTAGCCCATTTTTGCTTAGTCTTGTAAGAGATACAATCACAGTCTATAGTTTTATTTAAAATCTGTCACATTAGAGGGTTACCCAACATTTCAAGATATATTAGGGTGCAATAAATAGCTTACCTTTTTTGATAGTCGTTTATGGGAAAAATAATGTGCTTTATGGTGCAGAGAAGAAGCTTAAACATGGTCAATATTGAGAATAAAATCATATCCCACCTGGGTGACTTTCTCTGTCACGTTGTGTGTTCGATCTTTAACCTTGGGTGCAATAATGGTTTTATCTGAAGAAGGAGGGGATGCATTCTTTTTTTCAGTTTTGACATCTGAAAAATTCAGAGTGAGCTGTGGAATCTTGTTAATGGTGCTGTATTTGTTGAGATTTGAATCTGACGTGGATCCCAGGAGGCTTGACTTGATATGATTAAAAGGCCCTAAAAAAATTGGAAAATATTTGTAAAAGCAGGATCAGGAGAAACAGAAGAAGAAAGAGATGGTCCTGAATGACCCGCTAATGATCCACAGCCAGTGTGACCCTGCTTCGGGAGGGACTAAATGCAGCCAGCTGGTACCTGACCACAGGTTTAGGATCACGGTCTGACACATGGAGCAGCACATGGGTATCGAGGGGAAGATGGGGTCCAAGGCGTGTACCCAGGGGGCAGATGACATCTTTGGCTGTTACTTAACTTCTTTCATTAAGGGCTGGAATAAAAGGAATATAAAACAAAACAAAACACAAACACCAAAAACCTCCACTCCCTATTATTGGCCAAACTGGTTTTTCAAGAATGTCTTTTTATAATCCAGGAATTATTCAAGGAAGAGACTGGCCTGTGGATAAAATCATGTTGGCCAGGAAATTTCTGAACAGGCTGTGTCCCCAGCTCCAATGTGTATTACTTTCTTCTCTGGGCCATGACAAATGACAAGTGACGAACCAGCTGCCATGTGCTTCTACTACCTATGTGAGGTGTTTTACAGAGCTTCTAGGAATTTCAGATAAGAGGGAGAAGGGCAAATGTCTGTGTGTACGTGCGTGTATTCTATTGAAAACTCCAGGATCGTGTGTGAAATTTTTAAAATCTTTCCTTCTTTTCCCCTTTCATTTACATTTAAGACTTTTTTTTTTTTTTGAGAGGGAGAGAGAAAGAAAAGCCTCCATAAAAAAACCATACCAGAAGAATACTTTGGTAAACATAACTTAACATTGAAGTGACCATAGCTAGGTAATGGCTGGGGTTAGTGACCTGGTTATTTATCTATCTATTTATCCATTCATTTATTTTCAGACATGCTATATGTTAGATCCCCAGAACTGATTCATCTTGCAGCTGGAAGTCAGTACCCATTTTCCGACCCTGGTCAATTCCCACATTTCTTTCCCATGAAGACAATTTAGCAAGGTTCCAGGGCTCCTGGTTCCCTTGTCGAGGATAAATACACTGACTAGGTACACCTTGAGGTGAACTTCCTGTGTGTTGCTTTTGAAGAGTCAGGAAATGCTCCAGAGTTTCTTGTATAGTGGGTAATGCAACTTTTACTGATATAGAGCTCCTAAAAATTGGCATCAGGAAGAATTTTACAGAAAGCCTGAGCCCATGACTGTTACTCAGCCATTATTTTGCTGCCTCAGAGAGTGCTTCAAACACACAGACTGCATGACTGAGCTTGTTAGTCAGCACATTTTGCCTTATGCTACTTTTTCTCCTGTTCAGAATGAAACAAATGCATTTTAGGGATCAAAAAGTACTTTATGCAGGGCTGAACACTTGAAAATTAAATTTATAGGTGGTGTATTTTGAACCACAATAACAAATCAACTCAGCTAAACTATAATGCTAGTAAAAATAATTGCCATCACCTGGCTGATAGTTAATTTGGAGAGAATTCACATATATTCCTTTATAAAATTTTATTTTTGGTTATTTAAAAATTTGAAATTGTTTTAAGATCATTTTCATCCATACTGCAGACACTGTGCTTCTTGAGGTGCAATTTTATTCACTCCCTGAGTTTTATCCATGATGATGATCAAATCCATCTAGGTGAAAAATGTCATTGAGCAATTTGGGCCTTTATTGCCCAGTATGCTCTCATTTGCATATAGACGCTCACTCTCTTTTCTATTTATAAGATAACGAGAGAAATGGGAGCCAAAAGTGGCACCAAATTAATCTTGCCTTCAGACAGGTGTCTGATAGAAACTCCATTCTCTAGATCTCTCTGTAAGTCTCCATCACAAACCATTGATTTAGTATTGCAACATATCCTAGATAGTGTTCTCTTTTTTGTATCATTGTATAATATTATGGCTATATTCCAGGCCTATATGTTAAAATTTGTAATTTGTGAAATATTCCAGGACTTCCAACATTTTAGATAATGTCTTTTTCTCAACTCTATTGTCATATTTTCACTCATTAGGTACTTTTATTGCACACAGGGGTACAGAGAAGAGATTAGAGAAAGTTGAGCTCTGATACATAGTTAAGTTGTGTTTTAAACCCTTAATGTCTATCTTTCAACTCTATTTCTGTCATCCTTCTATGTGGTGAATGTCTATAGCTGACTCTCTACGGAGTTGTTTAAAAAAATCAGGCAAAAACATGGATGATCTATCACATTAGAGGAGACAAACACTGTTAAAGATGCTTTGATTGTCCTTGTAACCAGTTTCAATAAACTCCACTGAACTGGCTACACCAATAAGCACGAGGTCTCAACCATGACAGTACTTCATCCTAGGGGCATTTGTTGGGGACATTTTTGTCTGTCACAATGATGAGAGGTGGCTCAATTGAAAAATTGTCCCATATGTCCAGTGGGCATTCCTGTAGGTGAAAGCCTGTTTATAACGATCTGAGCCTTGAACCTGTTTCACATATAAAGAGTACAATGTATTTTTAACATGATTTTAATATGTGTTGAACTTTGTAGAGCTACAACTACCATGTAAAGGAAAGAGTTTTACATTGTTTGGTTCAGAACTTTACCAAAAGTTGTTCACCATTTTGAAAAATTGTATCACTTGGAGTTACTCTACTTGTGGCATTTGAATTGCCAATACAGAATTTCAGACTTCACGCTATAAGGTTATAGTCTGTGTTTGCAGGTCACGAACAAATATGTAAACAAAGAGATTTGAGTATTTTTTTTTGACAGTGTTGGAACTGGACATTAAATTTGCAGAGAATTACAGGAATCACACTGAAGATCATTAATAAAATTTCTTTCAAAAATATTTCATATGATTGTTCTCTATGTATGTAAAATGATACATGATGTAATGAAAAGAAACTATGTAGTAAGAACTAAACACTAACTGATTTGTCTTGAGATTGCCTGTGGGTTTCCAATCTCACGTTAGTAACTCTTTAGAGATCTGCCACAACTTCATCATAATGTCTCGATTGCCATTTCTTGTTCCAATCCATTTTTTAGTCCCATTGTTTAGGAAAGCATATGGTCTGCAAGGCCTTTTTACAATATTGGATAAAGAATATATGTTCTGACATTTGGTGGGATTTCTTTCTTAAACAGTGCAATTCATTAATATTGATGTTATCACATATGAAATCATGTTGACATTACACTGAGCTGTTAAGGGCCAGCTTACTGGTGAGAACATCATCCTTTTTCATTTTCTCCCCAGTTTATCTTGGGATATTTTTCATAATTCAATTTTGGTTATTTCCTGTTTCTAAAATTCATATATAAACAATTCTGGTCTGTTATTGTTTATTCCTATACTGCTTTTTATTTTGTTATCCACTCATATTCCTGCTCTGTCATTTTCTCTAGTACTTATCTGGATGATTTTCTCATGTCTTTAATGCTCTTAAAGCCATTTTCTAAAAATGTCTGCTCATTGCATTATGTCTTCTAGTGTAGTTAGTTATATTTGAGCATTAATACATTGAGAAATGTATCATTTTATTATAAACTGCTTTCCTTGTATTCCTCCTTTACATTACAGTTAAAGAATCATGTTGATCTTTTAGAAATAGGTTAACTTATTTCTAAATGTTGTTACAGGATAGTAAAATGAGTATAAAAAATATTGTTGCAAAACAAGGGGACATTGGGTCTGACAGGGCTGAGAAACCACTGGTCAATATATGTCATATGCAGATTTGCTCTCAGAATATTAAAACTTCATTGAGTCCATATTTTAGCTTCTTGTATTTACTGGTGGATAACCCTTCAAACTGTTATTCTATTCTGCTTTTTTTTTTTTTGTAACTTCTTAATAATAGAGATTTAATCTAGGCTTTCTTTTAAATCTATATATTTAAAGAATTCAGCAGAACCTAAAATGTTACTTAAAATACTTCATGCATGCTACTTAGATAAGACATTTACAATCTATTTCATCCCATAAACAAAGATCATTATGCTTTTTCCACTGATTTTGAAGCAGATATTTATTTGCAGAAGTCTGAGTCTGCAAGCCAATGTGCATTAGCTTAGGTTCCTCTAAAACCTATCTAAATTCTAGCGAAAAAATTTCCCAAGATTTTAATTATGGTAAGTATTCACAGTATTCTCGTTTTCACTAATCGTCAACCTAAGCAGATAGAATATGAGGCCAAAAGGGAATAAGCATCAAGGACTAGAAATCAGAACACAGGGTTTCCTACCTCCTAGGTCTATATTCAGAGAGGCCTTGGTTGAGGATTTAAAGGTGAAAGGCAGCCTCCCTGAGAGTGATCATGAACAGATGGGATTTAGGATTCTAATGAAAGAAAGGAGGATAACCTGAAAAACAAAGTAAATGAATTTAAATAAAATAAATGGGCAGAAATAAGGGGAAAAAATAGCTTCAATAGAAAGGAATGTAAAACTCAAAGGTGTATAAGGAGGAATTGATGTTCTTTAGAGAAACATTTGCAAAATGGATGACCATTCATTTAAACGTTTCTGTATTCTAGAAGGAGACGAAAAACAGGTGACCAAGTAGACTAAACCAACATCTGGATAAAGCTCTAATATATTACAACTGTCTGATTAAATATAAAGTAGGCCATGTTCCAGCTACAAAGAAATATCCTGAATTTAGAGATCAAGCCAGAGGCTAAAGCAACAACTGGGAAGAATTTTAGATTAAAGATGTTTAAAATTTTTATGATAAGGTTATTTGAATTTATCATGAGTTACAAGATGCTAAAAGAGAATATATTCTCTTTTAGAAGTGCTGGAAATATAGCCAAGGACATCTGATAATTTTTAAAAACTGCTGTTTTCTTTTTTAAAGATCATTGCTCTTGAGGATAAAATGGGACACAAGAAAAGGAGAGAAAAAAAAAAACAAGGTTATCACATCATCAGGTCTTTACACAATATTTCTTAGGGCACTGAGTTTATTTGGCTAAAGTTTAATAAAATGTAAATTGCTGAAGTGACTTAACGTTAGAAAAAAAAGCAAATGCAGTGTTTAGTAATTGGATTTTGTAAAAGAACACTGGCAGCCAGTTTAAAACTTAGATAGATAAGAAGTAATCATATTATTTGTAGTCCATAATCATATTACTTCTTTGGGTGTGTAATATATAATTTTCAGAAGAAAACTATCACCATTGAAAATCAGTATGCAAATTCTTATAAGATCACAAAAACTTGGCCAGTGTAGCTTATAAGAAACAAGCTGTATCAGATCGGTTGATTTCCTTTGTGAGTCTGCTAGGTTTTGTGGCTTGGGGAGGTGAAAGCTGTGATCAGTCCTGCAGATAGTTTTGTTTCTGACTCACATGCCAGATTCACACACAAGATGGAAACTGAACACACTATTGTCAGTGGGATGCAGAGTTCCTTGGAATAATAAGCAGGTGGAAGCAATAAAGGGGTAAAGCTATATTAAGGACCTATTTACTAAGTGGGGTAGGGGTGGGTTAATTTTTATGGATGACTTGGAGAGCAGTATAGGCAGAGAAACCACCACTAAATTTGAGGTGAAGATCAGTTGATGAGTGATTGAGACAGGATTAGGTTCACCTCTCACAACATTAAAGAGATTGTTAACAGCATTTAACGTACATGCACACATAGAAGCAGCAAATGCGATTTATTTGAATTAACTTTTCCAATCCTTGATAATGGGTTACACTTAGATCTCTGAAGTCTTATTTCAAAGATTCATAAATTTCAAGGAAATGTATTGAAGGGAAACAAATTTAATCCTAAGTAAGAAGGTTAAATGGAAATGATTCTGTTTTAGAAGAAAAGACTGAGTACCAATTGCTGTTCTTATAGTATGATATTATATCAAGATTAGACGTAACCAGCTGGAATCTCTGGCCATTCAGGATAGATAAAGGGGGGAAGAAAATTGCATTTCAGCAAGAAGGATTTAGGTTAGCTCTTGGCGTAACAGGCAGTAAAATAGATTTCCCAAGAAAGTTAGAGAATGGGATCCCCCCAAGATAAAGATTCCTCTACTATTTGTGTCAGAAATTTTGCCAACCACCTCGCCTGAGGGGGATAAACCAGATGCTCTTGAGGTCCTTCCAAATGCCTACCGAAATGATTCATTTTATTCGGTCAAGAAATTATTTTTGGGTGACTTCGATATTTAAGACCTGTAATTATGCATTTGTACACAAAGAAGTATAGAAATTTGTCTTTTATTTTATTTATTTATTTATTTATTTATTTATTTATTTAATTTTTTTTTTAAATTATTTTTTCAACGTTTTCATTTATTTTTGGGACAGAGAGAGACAGAGCATGAACGGGGGAGGGGCAGAGAGAGAGGGAGACACAGAATCAGAAACAGGCTCCAGGCTCTGAGCCATCAGCCCAGAGCCTGACGCGGGGCTCGAACTCACAGACCGCGAGATCGTGACCTGGCTGAAGTCGGACGCTTAACCGACTGCGCCACCCAGGCGCCCCTGTCTTTTATTTTTTAAGTTTTATTTAAATGTGGTTTAGAAACAAAACCAAAAAATTTTAAAAGCGCACTCAATGTATTATTCTATATCTACTTAGCATGTTAATTTTTCAGCAAAAATCTTAAAGAGCCAGATACTTAAGTATTTTTTGATAGTTTCAAAACCAGAGTCTGAACAAATAATGAAGACTTTGAAGGGTACATTTACATTAATTTTTAAATTAAATTTGCGCATTTTTAAATCTAATTTGGGAGTTTGACTTCATAAATATTAATATGGGAAAACTTCCTACAATGGTTTAGAGTTTCCTAATCCCAAATTCTGACTTTGATGATTCATTTTTATTTAAAGACTACTGCTATTAAAAAATTGAGGGTCAAGGAAAAAGGGTTGGAGATTAAATGGATTTATGAGAGAAAAATAAAAAAAAATGTGGTTTGAATGACAGCTGTGTGAACTACTAGTTTTAAGATAAGCAAGCTCAATTTTCTATTTATTGAGACAAATCAGATTCATTTTTCACTGCATTTAAGAGATCATTGGAAAATTAGTGTCTAATAATTAATTGCTAATTATTAAATGCTAAAGCCAATCATATTTCATACAAGCAAGTTAGCAAGGGGTGTCTGTATTCTGTTTCTTGACATTATATCCTGAATTATACTCAGATCACCATCACAAATGACACTAATTTGTTCCCTTTTAGAAACCACAGTAGACAGGCCGAGGATAGAATAATCATGTGGGTGAAATACCATCCCAGTATTGGAGGTCACCTGCATAGACCCTTTTTGAAGTGCTCGCAAAATAAAATTGGGATGGGAGAAGCTGCCACAATTTCCCTTATTTTCAAATCACCCTGGATTGATGACCAGAAAACAGCTTTAGTGTCTAGTGCTATTAATTCATAAGCATCACCAGCTCTGACTTAATTAGGGAAGCAATTGAGAAATCAATATACAGAACTTCATAGTAATCAGAGTAGCAGTGACATACAGAAGAGGCCAAAACAGTGAATTTTAAATAATGATGGTTACCGGTGGAGACGTGTCCATGCAACATACATGCACCAAATGAGTCATTGTCACCATATGCACACTCACAGCGGCATGCATGGCCTATGTTAAAAGGCTAAGTCCAAATGTTTTCAATTTGATGAGAATAATATGATTACTATATTTTGTGATTCCTCGTACCTACTATGATATAGTAGAAAAAACAGAGGTGAATTTCAAATTTGTAGTCAAATCCAGACTTTTCCAGAGGTACTGCCCACTTAAACATTAACCTACAGTACCTATAGGTCATGCTAGTGATTTCAGACTAATATAGGACACAATTAAAAATGACTGAAATGTAATATAGAAAAATAGAAAATGACCATCATGCATGTACAGTTTACTACTACAGTAAGCTTAAAACCATACCCCCTGCCATCCAGGAACGTGAAACTAGTTTTAAGGAAACAAAAGAGGAACAAGTGAAGAGATACTGTCATGTAGCACTTTGATTACTTTATTTAATCTTGCACTCAAAACCTTTTTGGGGCTGAAACAGGCTGATGTGCCTCTTTCATACTGGAATGTATTTAGCTTAATATTTGTTTCTTTCCAAATGGTTTAAATATTTAGAAGCGTTCATTGTCAACCTAGGCTTATACTTGCAAGAAAAAGGAGTTCAGAATCATTTTGGTGCCACAGCTGAGAAAGTAACAATGTCTCCAACAAAATCAAGCCACGATATCTCCACCAGGCACCTGGACCAGCTAAGGGCAGCATGATGTTGCATTGAACAGGGCATACAGCAGGCAAGTGAACATGCCAAATAAAGGGGCTCTTTGAGCATCAGGTGATGAAATTTGAGTTCGTACATTACCTTTGACATTGCGACCATTGTCTGTTTTGAGCACATAAGGGTAAAAAAAAGAAAGAAATATAAAAAGAAGACTAAAATTATGTTATATACACTGAATTACAATCAGACTAAACAGGATGTGATGATTGAAAATTGTATCTTTGAAATTAGCATTTTGTATTATTCAACCAAGTAAAATGCATATACCAAAAATAATATCTGCCATCATAAGCATGCACGTTCAAGTATGTGAATCATTTATCTCATTTATTTTAACTGGATTCCAAGCTGGGTATCTTTTATAATTTACGACACTTTGGAGAAGGCATCTCCAGCTGTCTGCAGTTGTGATAAAAACTTTCAGTCTTGTCAGAAGCCAATTTTAGTGTCCCTTCAACCGTCATTTACAAGAAAGACTGCACAACATTTGGTATGTTAAGTAATTGTTTTTTTCATATGGTTTAACCTAGAAAATTAAGACAACAGCTTACCTTAATAAACCAACTTGTGTCACTAATCAGAATTCTATTAACTGCCACTCCCACAAATGTTCTTCGATGCATATTTTGAAAACACCAAATAGTGCTCAAAGAATCATTCTTAGGCAAAAATAATTGTAAGAAATCAGTGAAAGATTTGACTTTTAAAAGTAATGTGAGATTTTTAAGTCTATGTTGTCACAATGCACTCAGTATAATACCTAAAATATTTAAGAAATTCATTTATATTAAGATGGGCTGTTTTCAAATCTCAGAACAAAGTGTTTTCAGATTTATTTTGAGATTAGCAACCTGACCCTTCGATGCATATTTGCTAGTAACAAAATCTGCATTACTAGTTTTGAAACAAACAAGCTTAAAAGAAATGAAGTCATGTCAAAACCATACAAATATATCCAAGATTTGAAAAATCTGTTCAACATTTGTTGACATGTACAGTAATGCTGTGCATATTTAAAATCTTGGGATATATCATAATTGTTTCAAAGTCTACAAGTGAAGCAATTTCAATAATGCGGTATATTGAACTGCTAGTGTAGACACTGGCTCACATAGAGATATGCAAAACTGTGACCTTACATGACAACTCTGCCTTCTTTGAGGGACCATAAAAAAGCAAATATGGATAGTGAAGAGACCTTGATTACATAGAATTAACTATCTCCATCAGAAGCGGGGCCCCCAAATCATTAGTAAAGTAACAACTACTTATAAGTAGTTAAAAATTATAACAAACCTCGAAATTATAAAGATTTGCAAATTCCCAAAAAACTGACTAGAAGTTATATTATATGGTTAATGCTGCTTTGACATTCTAAGACAGAGCATGCAGTCTGTGCATTAGTGCTAGCTGAGACCTTGTTATTTGTCCGTGACAATATAACTGCAGAAATTAGAGTAAGCATCTAGAATCTTCTAGCAGCTTGTCAGAGTAATTCTATGTCGGGTCAATCTAATAATAAAACAGGGCTTATATTTTCTATGTATTTTTTTTGAAAATTTCATTTTTCTAATAGTGCATTTTTCTTATATATACAAATGTATTGGTCTGTGATGGATTAGAAAAAATCCTGGTCCTTCACCATAAATGGTTTGAGAAGTAGAATTCTAAGGTACTTGGTAATATATATTAAATAAAAGGATAATGTAAAACATTATGCACTATTATATTTGCAAATTATTTAAAGTTCTATAAAGATAGCCTATAAAGAAGGAAATTTCTCTTCTTGAATGAAGAAGCAATAATCTGAATTCAGAATCTGGTGCATGTGGGACTTAACCTGTTAACCAGTCACATGAATTCATAAAATTAAAATCAGTTTAAAAGAATTTTCATCATCATGTAGCATTGTGCATCAACTATACCCAAAGAAAAAATAAAAACTTTTAAAGTTTTCCATCTTCTTTTGTCAGCAGCTCAGTTTCTAAAATATATCAAATTATGTAGCCATAGGAAGTGTGGTTTCTTCTAGGCTAATCAGTGATTTTGTGGCTAAAAAAACTGTTCTAAAGCTGAACTATAAAATACCCTCTGAATTTATTCACCGATAACCAGACAACTGTAGCATCTGTAAGCAAGTGATACTTTTCTGGAAAATAACATAGCTTTGGTGTGGGAAGAAAATCCAGGATGTCCCCACTACTGAGTGTCCATGTATAGAACCTGAATTGAGAAATCCAGAAATATGAAATCATCCTTTCCCATAATTGTATCAGCAACAATGTACGAAATGAAGACTACATAAAATGGAAGCAAATAAGGTGAAATCATGAAATCTGATCTAACCTCCTCAGCACCACTGTCAAATCACAGGCGACGTCTATGCCACCCACTGATCATGTGCCATCTAATATGGAAGAATGGTATTAATACTGTAACTCAGGTTCTAGGCAATAAGGCCAATTTCTGAAAAGCCAGTATGATTTCTAAAGATGCTTACACTAACGGGACGAACTAAGCAAAATGTATGTTGGTCATTTGAATCACCCTATTGGATTTATTGCATTTCAGCTATATGATTCATTGCTCAAAGATCAAATTTCAGCAATTTCATTCAGTCAGGAGATATTGAGCATGCAATCACTCCATGGTATGGGGACCTTAGATGACTATTCAGTTTGGAAATTGTCCTTGATTTTATTTTCCTTTTGACCTTCTTTAGACTACAGATTAAAATGGATGTGCTACTGGCGTTTGTACCATATATAGTTTCTCAAACTTATCTGTGGAAAACCCTTCTGTTTTTGTGATACTGATTTATCTCTTTTTGAATTCTTCCTGGCAATTCTGCCTTCTGAATTCTCTTCTGCCTTCTCATCTTCACTGTGGCCTTTAAATAAAGATCCCCACATGATTCAAGTATTATGGAATATAATCATTTTCTGTTGTGCGTGGTTTTGAAACATAGTTCGGGAGCATGGTCCTCTCAATGTGGCACCAACACTTATTGAGTTCCTGCCATGAGACAGGCGATTGTGTTGGATATTAAGGCTGCCAAGCACACTATGCCCCAGCTCCTGCGATGGGGGAGCTCACAGAAGCATACTTATGGCTTTGTGTATCCCGCAGAAATGACAGACTTCTAATGTGGAATAAAGGTAGAATGTAATAAATGCTATCATAATGTGCAAATGCTGCTTTGCACATTAGGGTGTAAAATCATTGAGTTCCTTTGGTTTGGGAAGGGGAAATGGGCCCTGAGGACTGTGAGTGGCAGGATGAGGAGGAACAAAGTAGAGAACAGATATTCTTGGCAGAACAAACTAATGAAGCAAAACAATGTGTGATGCATGTTTGGGAAAAAGCAATTACCTTTGTGCAGGTTTATACATAGTAGGGGAAGGAGTCCTGCAGAAGCTGGAAGGAAGGCTTGAAAAAGAACTGTGGCCAGCTGGCAAAGTGCCTAGTACCCTACACTAAGAGTCCAGTGATCAGATGCATGTTTTAAGAAGAAAACTCACAAAAGCAGCAGTGATGACGGGAACACACAGACATGGATACCACAGAACAATGGGCCGCTCAGGAACCTGAACTGCGGGATTTAGAAAAGTGGGACTGATATATCCATTCAACAGGTACTCTGAATCTCCGAGCCTCAGGGAAAGCTCGTTGAGTCCGCAGACCCGTCCTACCACAGGAAAACACTGAGTGGTGGATTGTGGGCTCTGGAAAAAGGTGGTCCTGGGTATGCAAGCTGGCTCTGGAACTCTTTAACCTTGGACGAGTCATATATTTAGCATATCTAAGCCTCAGTTACCTCATCTTTAAAATGGGGCTTAGCAATAATTCCTAACTCACAGAGTTGTAAGAATTAAATCACTTCATGTGTGTCAAACATTTTCAATGCCTCAACACATAGAAAATACTCAGTAAAAGTTGGCCATCATCATGTTAATGATGAGTGTTTTTGTCGCCGTCTTTTAAAAAAATATTTATTTATCTTTTTGGGGGGAGAAAGCGCAAGTGGGGGAGGGGTAGAGAAAGGGGGGCAGAGGATCCGAAGCAGGCTCTAAGCTGACAGGCTGACAGCAGTGAGCCCGATGTGGGGCTCGAACTCACAAACAGTGAGATCATGACCTGAGCCAAAGTCCTAAGCTCAACTGACTGAGCCACACACGTGCCCCTGTCATGGTCTTTTGAGCATTGCTGCTTTCACTACCGGCTAATGTAAGAATGTGAACACAAAGAGGCCAGGGAAAAAGAAACGAATTCTAACTTGTTCTGACTTTGGTTTTCAAGTTTGGTCTTCCAATACTTTCAGGGATTACTTTTTCTCTCTAAACCTTTCCCCTTCTTCCTTCCTACCCCATCCCTACCCAATCAGTTTATAGCTTTCCGATTAGTCGCTACACCACATTTTACACACCTCTTTCTTTGGAAAGATTTGGTTAATAAAAGAGTCCTGCGAAGGCACATCACTCCTGCTCAGAGCTTGACTATTTACTAAATGCAGCAAAATTAATTATGCTTGAGATGATAGTGTCATCACCTAAGCACAGCTTATATTAAGTATTAATTAACACTCCATAAAGTCGGCAGATAATGGTTATCATACCATTTCAGAAACACAGAAAAGAAGCCAGAAGAAACCAAATTATTCACTAGGGTTCAAAGAGGAAAATCAGTAACACTTCCGGATATAAAATTCATAATTTGTAATTGCTGTAATTTACTCACATTTCTTCCCCCAAGGCATAGGCATTAATGTCAAAATTAAAAACTATGGAAATTACCTTTCATTACCCATTAATATATGTTTCCATATTAAAAAAAAAACATACCTTCACTGGCATGTCGGTCTCTAAATATGTTCTTGGGGTGGACACTGAATCCTTCTATATCATGAACTGAAGAAGCCCTCCGTATACTACAAATGCTTTCCTTCGATCTGGAATGAGTCAGCTGGGAACTTGACTGCAGCATGTCAGGGTACAGTCGGTCCCATTGCCTTTTGGGAGAGGAATGGTCAAGAGGTCCCGATATATTCACCAAAGGGGAACATTTGCTGGGCTGTATCAAGGCTTTTGTATCATCTGCTTCAGAAGGGCTGCAGCTCTCTTTTGTAGGAGACTTGAAGTGCTTCATGGCTACTGAATCATCGCTGTGTTTAGATGAGTCAATTACTACCACATCCGGGTCTTCTTGTGGTAAGGACTGCTTTCTGTAAGTGAGAACTCTCAGACCAGGGAATTTGAACCCAAAAAGTTTCCCTACAAGTGGAGACAGGAAAAAAGAAACACATTATAAGACAAATATATAGATAGATACAATCCATATACACATCCATATATACATATATATACTATATATGTACAAGACATATCCCTTAAGAAAAACAAACAAATGAACATCGTTGACTCATATTTAATACCATGTAATAAGATTTATTAATCAATACTGAATTAAGTCATTCACAGTTGGAATGAGAGATATTGTAGAAAATTTCTGAGACTAATTACCATAAAAGCAGTAAGAAAATAATAAAAGAACGTTGTCATGTTTCTGATGGTTAAACAGATATACTCCACTGACATGAAAGTATTACTTGGATGACATGACTTTTTTTGTTTCAATAAATTAAAGACATATTACACATTATTGCATATAACATATTGTTAAAAACACTATACATCCATTTTTAAGGGATTTGGGGGAATTTTACGGGAATTTGAAGGGTGGAATACAGTTTGGAAAGGAAAAGAAGGGATGGGACACCATAGGCAAAAGGGAGGGTACTGGAAATATAGTGCATATGTGTGGAGTGGAGGATAGGGGGTGATTGTACTGGAAGAAGGGAGGGAATGAGGTGGGGATAAGAAGTTGGCCTGACATATCTAGAAGGCTTGTATTAGACAATACTGTGACTCATGTGTGGATTAGAAAAACAGGGTCAGCTGTTTATGAAAACATTCCTCATTCCATTGGAAAATCTTTAAAGGCTTTACGTTTCAGATAGAGATGTAAAGATAAGAATTTCTCTTTCCTGATATATTTTTTTTTTCCAAAATATGAGAATATGGCATGAAATGTTATCCTTATCTCAGTGGATGAGGCTTAGAAGGACAACCAAGTATAAACATTCAAAGGTGAGTTTTAAAATTAAAATATTAGCTAATAAATGCATAAACTCACTGGCAGTAAGAATGCAAATCAAAACAAAATCATGTCATTTTCCACTCTTTAATTTAGCAGTTAATTGGAAAAAAACAAACAGATAACATGTAGTGATGGCAAAAAATGCTGGTGAGCATTCTGGCACTTTGCTGGTGGGATTGCAAATTGCTACAAATTATTTCAAAAATCATTGTACAATATCTATTAAAATGAAAACATACTTTTCATTTGACTCAGGAATCCCAATAATAGGATAGTACAAAGGCACAGAAATAAGACACAGCCTGGATATCCATTAGAAAGAGAATGATTGAATAAATTATGACCTTTTTATACTTTGGAATCTTATAATGCTCTTTAAAAGACATATATATATATATATATTTTTTTTTATTAGAATTAGAAGTTTATCAAAATAAAAGTGTTAAGTGAAAAAGAGTTTCAGTTTAATGTTTGTGACATTTCATTAAAAATAATAAAGACTTTATTTGTCTGTAGAAGTTGTATAGCAATAGAGAAAGATGTGGAAGAACACACATCAGACCTGTAATGTTGACTGGCTAAGTGGGTTTGGAAGCAGAAGGTAATGTATTGAATTCTTCTGTATATATTTTTATTGTTTGTTACATCAAGCATGCATGCATTCCTTATAAACTTTTAAAAAACTGATGAGGTAAAACTTTTACTTCTAAAGAATGAAGAGATAAGACATAGCCTCCAAACAATATTGTGTAATTCAAAGCTTGTCTAAGTATTGTCTATGAGAAAACACAGAGTTTCTAATCTCCATTGCTAGTGCAGTGGTCTATGTTCAAATCGCCTGATGGCTTGACAATTACACATTGCTCTTCTAGTCAATCATTTGGAGTCTTTGGGCTACGATATTACCTACCTTATATTCTTTAAGTGTCATGGGCACCATTATTTTTAATACATTTATTATGAACTTTCCCTCAGTCATAGGATGGTTTTAAAACATGGAAGAACACTTCCAAAACTCATGGATTTTTCTGTATTTTATTTAAATAATTACTCTTAATTACTCTTCCAGTAAATGTCTTACCTATACACATAGTTTCCATTCCATATTTATTTAATCCAATGATTCATAACTACATCTCCAGGCCAGACCTTTTCTCTTAGTTCCAAACCTGCATATCGATTGGCCTCATTGACATCTTCACTTAGAAGTCTTAAAAAGACACCTCAAAATTCCATAGCAAATCCAATCTCATGATCCATCTGTCCAATTCTAGCCCTTCTTCTCTGATTAACATGTCTCTTTTCCAGTGGACTGTAGGCCTCATGAGGGCAGGGACCCTGTCTATTTTGCTTACCAAATCCTACCTCTGACAGAATGCCTGAGCATGGTAAATGAATTTCTATCATCTATAAACAGATCCTAAACTGACAATGTGCTTCAATTCTGAATGTGGAAAACTAAGATACTTAATTATTCTGGCCAACTTAATTGGATAATCTTAGCCTTCTGGAATTGTATTGACCCATGTTTACCAAAAATTATTGATTGAGTGGAACTCAGTAGCTCATGGAAATGATGAACTCTATACCTTGCCCTTTATACCCGATTGCAACTCTGTTTCTTAATTTTACCTTTTTCAGAGGTTACTAATTGCTACCATTCTGATTTTAGAACATAAGACAGAAGTGTTTTCAAATTCTTCATTTTATGTAAACAATTAATTACAGAAAATTTTAGAATTAAGTAGGCTACTTTATTATTTTTTTTTAATGTTTATTTATTGTTGAGAGAGATAGAGCATTAGTTGGGGAGGGTCAGAGAGAGAGGAAGACACAGAATCCGAAGCAGTCTCCAGGCTCCGAGGTGTCAGCACAGAGCCCGACACAGGGCTCGAACTCAAGAACTATGAGCTCATGACCTGAGCCGAAGTCGGATGCTTAACCGACTGAGACACCCAGGCGCCCCAAGTAGGCTACTTTATTATTGTAAGCTTTCATTTGTGGGCTAGCAGTTAATAGTGTTAAATACAACTGTAATATAATTTATCTTTCTGGTAAAAAAAAACAAAAAACAAAAAAAAACATGACACAATGCACAGACAAAATCCAAATATGGTCCACTTTAAGTTCTGGATTAATAAATTGTAGGTGAGAGTAATCAATCTATGCAAATAAGATTAAATAACAGTATACCAGAGTAACTGTTTTGCAAGCATTCCTACATAATTTTACCAACAACTCTTATATGCTCAAGTAAATTGCCAAGTTAAAAATCAGTGAACTGCATCAAAGTCACTTGATTAGTTTTTAATGCTCATGGAATTGACTTATAAAGCAGTTTACAAATCAATTCTGCAAGCTTATTACAATGCATTGAAGGTCAATGCATACTTTTATTCATTTTTCATCAGTTATATTACCCTCCTCCTTTAAAAACCATTCACTGTGTTTCTTAAATTAATGGCCACACAAGGCATTTAGCTTGCTCCTACAGTTTAGTCATATCCAAGGTGGTACAGATGGTCTTTTCTGCATCACTAGTTTAATATGACCATGTTATATTGCATTACAGATTTAGTTGTCTAACCACAGTTCATCCGGAAAGAATACACATTGAAAATTTTGCTCAATGCTAGCACTTTTAGGCATGAAATATAAAGCATGGATGAGTATAATCCTGTCATGGTTCTTAACACTGAAAAATACCCTTATAAGTTAAGTCTCCATATTTTACCATATCTGCTTTCTAACTGGACAACTAAAATAGGTACCATGTGGCCTTTCATCTATTAAATGTTTTATAAATCTGAAATAAGAATGACAGATTAGGAGTTTTTACACATTTTTTACACATTCTCCCAATAATTAATAAACTGCTTACACAAACCTGATGTCGTTTAAATATACCATTTTCATCTAAGAAGTATCTAACATGCATGAATGAATGACTGCTACAAGGTCTTTCTCAGAACATGTCACTTTTATGAAGCTGTTAAATGTAATTTTGGAAGCTTCATCTTCATGTATCCTGTGTCATATTTAACTGAGAGCTTTTAACTTCTCACCCAAGTAGGTACACAGTTAATCAATTATTTTTCTCTTTAAAAAAGCCTGGAATTATGACTCCAATCGATATACGCAAAGATGTTAAACACTTGGCTCAAGGCCAAACAGGAAATCAGGGTAAAGTCAGAATAAAACAGCAACTTATTTTACTTAATTACAGTTTTACCCAAGATTTGGTGGTTTCTTGGGCCATAAATATCCACCTGAGTATTTAATGAGAATCATAATTCTCCTCTAAATAAATGTAGATAAATGCATACACACAATTTTATTTATGACCTCTGAAAATGAATAACAAAGTTCCCTTCCCTCAACCAAAACCCTTCTTCTAACCTCCCCTAGGATTGCCTGGGATTAGTTGATTCTTAATATTCCTTTTCGTTCTGAGTTTCTTTGTTTATATATTTATGCTATTCATAGTTCCCACAAATTTATAATGATCACAGCTACATTTCTGCCCTATCTCCTGTGGTAATGGAAGTTGGTTCTTATCTACTAGCATTTGGAAGGAAACAGTTTTTCTAATTTAGGAATGAATCTGGGAATATTAGAAATAACATTTCTCGCAGAAAAGCAAATATTTCCAAAAAGTCCTCCGCATACTGCTAATCATTGAATTTCCTCACAATTGCCAATTCCCAGTCATTTCCTGGGTTCAGCTTCTCTTCATTGCTGCAAACTCTTAGAACTTTGATTACCTAATAATTTTACCAGGGGTGCCTGGGGGGCTCAGTCAGTTGAGCTGGTGACTCTTGATTTCTGCTCCTGATCCCAGGGTCATGGGGTTGAGCCCCACCTTGGGCTCTGTGCTGAGCATGGAACCTGCTTCATGTTCCCTCTCCTCTTGAATATATATTAAATATGTATTCTCTCTATATTAAATATGTATTAAATATATTTAATATACTTATTTTATCAGAAACAACTTACTCTGGCTTGGTTCTGCTTAGTTGAATTATGGACTAAAAAGTAGAGAGAAACTTTAGTTCAAGCAGCCATGGAAACTAGAGAATATAGTAGGGTAAGGAAGGGACATGCTTGGTGGGGG